CTGGAACTTTCCCAATGTTCCAAAACTTATTGAGAATCAGCAAAATCCTCAGCCAGTCTTTTGAAACTCTTTGGATGCAAGTTATCTGGATCTGCTGATTTTAAAATTTCTGACTTTAGTAGCTTCTGTTTAACATCCTCCAGAGACACTAGTGGAATGGAAAAAACATCGTTATCACCGTATGATGAGACTGCATCATCTGTTTTTCCCCCTCAAATACAGAACAAATATTTATTTAACATCTTTTCTGTATTATTATTTATTATTATTAATTCTACCATTTCCATTTAGTGATGGACCAATACCATTGTCAGGATTCTTTTTGTTCCTAGTGTGTTTAAAAAACTCTATTACTGTCGTTAACTCTACTTGCCATACATTTTTCTCCTTTTGTGTCCCTTATCAATTTTCTGCAATTCCTAACTTCTGACTTATTCATTAATGTTAACTTCCCCTTTCTTCCATTTGTTATATATTATTTCTTTTATATTTTAAAGCTGCCTTCACATCCTTTCTAAACAGTTTGTTTGTTTTTAACCAGCACAGCCTTCTTCCTCAATTATGGGATTGAGCCTTTTGGGGCATATAGTAAGGTGTTCTTAAATGATTCCCAATAATCGTTCACATTTTTTTGATTACATTCTTTTCCCCAGCTTATTTGGCTCATACTGTTTTCAGCTTTGTGAAATTGGCCCTATTAAAGCACCAATATATATTACTTTTAGTCTTGTGGTCAGTTCCCCTTTATCTTTTGGAATAAGGTCTAATATAGAATTCCCCCATGATGGCTGCAACACTTTTTGAGTTAGGAAATTCTCATCTATAATGTTTAGAAATTCAAAGGATGTTTGGAACTGGAAGTATGCAATCAGACAGCAGAGACCAAAAATCCCATATACTCTACAGTATAGTACTGTGTTAAACATAAACGTCTTAAAAAAAGGGGGGGGGGAGAGTTTACAAAAAATTGACCAAGGTAAGGAAACTGTTTCCATGCTTGTTCATTTAAATTAAGACAGTTAAAAGTAGCATTTTTCTTGTGCATAGTAAAGTTTCAAAGGTGTATTAAGATGTAAACTTTTGAAAGAACAACCATAATGTTTTTTTCAGAGTTACAAACATTTCAGAGTTACGAATAACCTCCATTCCTGAGGTGTTCATAACTCAGAGCTTCTACTGTAGATTGAATTTATTCTCCTAAATGACCAATTCCAGTTCCTCTTGTTTGTTGGTCAGGCTCCTAGCATTAGTGTATAGGTAACTGAAGAATTTCTCCTGTTCATGTCCTTTGACTCCTTGATAAATTTTGTTCTCAATATCTTGATTTTGTGCTGAGTGCTCGTATCTTTCCTCTTTTTCCCCTCCCCGTATGCTATTAATTTAACACCCGCCTGACTACTCTAGCCAGCCTGTCCTCAAGAAGATTGGTCCCCCTTCTGCTGAGGTGATGACCATCCAAACAATATAGCCTCCTCTCCCCCATAGAAGATGGACCAATATTTCACAAAACCAGAGCCCTACACCACTTACCTAGCCAGTGATTCACTTCCAGAATCCTCTGCCTTCTGTCTTCCTTTGACACATGCAGCATATCTTCAGTAAAATGTATGAAATAATATACTTGAAATATTTATTCCATTGCCTATAATTAAGATTGAACAACCTGTTTGTAATTTAGATGTATGTTTACTTGTTTAGTTCTCAGCTGAATCACATATCAGATGTTTGCTGTTTGTTGTATCACACAAACACACAAAATTTAAAATGTGTTGTGTTGCTAACCAAGAGGAGGAAAAGCAACACTCACTTCTTCCTTAAAAAGTTAGCATGCATCTTATCTGTTGAGAACTAATCAAAACATACAAAACATTTGCATTTAAATTGTATAGAATTCTGTAGCTTGCTTTAATTTTAATTTGCTGGCACTATTAATTATTTGTATTACAGTAAATGATTAGGACTCCACTGCGATTAATGCTGTACAACCTAATCCTTGCTCCACAGTTTACAGTCTAGATATATGACAAGACCGAGTAGGTAGATGAAATAGACAAGTGGGATGACAAGACAAGATAACAGTAAATGGTACATCTTCCTAGGATACCATAGTCTTTTTGCTAACTGTCTAGCCATTATCATCTGGAGTTCTTTGTAGGCATTACAGCATTAGTAAGTCTTAAGGAGATACTTGAAGGAGGATGAAGAGACTTTACAGATTTTACAGGAGATTTGACAGGTAGCATGGAAAAAAAGCACAAGTGTTAATGATACCTCCTTTGCAAACTTTTTGAGAAAGCTACTGATTATTTGTATAAGAGCTATATTCAGAATAAGAATTATTATTCTTTGAGTGCTTGCACATGTCCATTCCACTTTAGATGTATGCACACCAGTGCACTGAAGCTGGACAACTTTTCCACATAGTGGTACTTGTTGGGGCAGTACATGCTGCTAGCTGAAAGCATAAAGGGTTGGAACCATCCCAACCCCCCTTCAGTTCCTTCTGGTTGGTAGTTGGAGTGTGTGAGTGTGAGTCTTATGGTCTTCCCCATATTTCCCTTTAAGAAAACTTTCTAGAGGTCTTTTATTGTAAGTAGTTTAGTATAGTTGTAGTTTAGATAGTGGTACTTGTTTTTGGCTCAGTTCCCAGGCATGTCCAAGTCCCCAAGATTTAGGTACTGTTCTGGCTATAACAAATTTAGGCCAGTCAGTGATCCTCACTGCCACTGATAGAAGTGTTTGGGAGAAGGCCACATCAGGTATAACTGCTCTATTTATAAGGTATTTAAAACGAGGAGTGGGAAGTTGAGGGAAGTTCAACTTCACGACATCTTGGTCGAAGCAGCTTTTGTGCTCTCATTCGGAACCCAGATGCTCAATATGCAGGGATTTGGACTTAACTCCATCTCCGAGTGCACCACCAGACTTGGAAGAGAGTTGAAGAGAGCTGGCGAGAAGACACCACTCTCCATCTCTGGTGCCATGCAGATAGCAGAAGTCCAGCCCTTTGACCTCTTCGGGCCAGAAGAAGCTCTCTTCTTCTTTGAGGACTAAGTCCTCAAAACACTCACATAAAATGACCAGTACAGAAGTTAGTTATAGTTAAGATAACTCCTGCAGGGTGCTCCCTAGTGCCGCATTCTAGAAATGTAGAGTTATAGACTTCGGCACCTTAAGTTGTACTGCCCACCCACTTTTTAACATGGCGTAGTTTGGGGGTGCGGAGTGGTGACAGCACTGTGCTTTGTGGCAGGGGAGCTGATAAGAGGATCAGCTCCCCCACCATGAAGTGCAGCCCTTGTTGGCAGTGCCAGCCTCTTTCCAGTGGGGGACTAAAGGGGACCTTAGTCTCCTTGCCTTGAAGCCTGGATCCTCTCTGTGGCCTGCCCCTCCTCTCTTCCCCTCCGAGAGCCTGCCCCCTGGTGAGGCCAGAAGTCAGAGCTGGGCTGTAATAAGAGCCTCCCAGGGATCCAGGACCGCTGTGGGGAGCCCTGGACCCTCTACCTCCCATGGGCAGTGCACCGTGGTGGGTGGGAACACGGGCCCCACAGCACCCTGGGCGGCTCTTGGCATGGCCCGGCTCCAAGTTCTGGGCTGGCCTCAGGGCGGAGCCTCGGGTCGGGGGGAAGAGAAGGAGCAGGGACATGGCTGTGGGGAAAGAGGAAGAGCAGAGGCGGGGCCACGGTTCCGGCAGTGTTGCCTATGACTGTTAGGTTCTTGAAAGGTTTGGACAGACCTTGCCTCCTATTAGGGTTCCCACACCATCCTGTTTGGTTCTTTCCGTTTGGTTCTTTCTGTTTTAACAGGGCCGCCATTTGAACCTATAGCTATGCCCCCTTTCTCATCTCTCAGTGAAGTTAGCATTCCTGGTGGCCATTATTTTAGCCAGGAGGTAGCAGAACTTTAGGCCTTGGTAGCTGACCCTCCTTAGATACTGTTTTATAAAGGTAAAGTTAGTTGGCATCCACACCTCAAATTTCTTACTAAAGTGGTGTCAGATTTTCATCTAAATAATTCTGCATACTTACTACCTTTTTTTCAAAACCTCACACCCACGAAGATAGGGAAAACCTTCATACTTTGGGCATTTATAAGATGTGGCCTTTTATCTGAACAGAATTAAAGAGTTTATGGCATCTCCACTCTAAACTCTTGTTCATCTCCGCTGACAGGATGAAAGGGCATCCCGTCTCTTGTCAGATGATTTCTTCCTGGATCTCCTCTTGTATTTATTTGTGCTATGAAAATGCTCCATGACCTCAGAGTTTTAGCATACTATGAGAGCATAAGCAGCGTCAGCTGCTTTCCTAGGTCACGTTCCCATCAGTGATATTTGCAAGGTTGTGACATGGTCCTCTGTTCATATATTCACTGCTCTTTATGCTCTCTCCTATGCCCTAAGAGACAATATGTTTGGGAGAGTAGTGTTGCATCCTTGTTTAGGTAGACACCAATTTCCTCCTCCATTTGAAATTGTTAGACACCTAAAGTGGAATGGACATGTGCAAGCACTTAAAGAAATGTTAGTTACCCATTCAGAAACTACTGTTTTTTAAGATGTGTGCACATGTCCATTCCATGACTGATCCTCCTTGCTCTTTACATTGGAGCCACAGCAAACTCTGGCTCCCTAGGCGAAGGAACTGAGTGGGGTCAGGGAGGCTCCGCCCCTCCATAACTTCAGCTAGTTGAACAAATGTGCAGAAGGCACATGCTCCACACGAACGGGTACCACTATCGGAAAAAGTTCTCTGGCTTCGGTGCATGGGCACTCAACACACCTGAAATGGAAAGGACATGTGCAGCGCATCTTGAAGAACAGTTACCGAGCCAGTACGTAACCATTTTTTATTATTAGAGAAGCAGGTGAGTAGCTGATTCAGAAGTTTTGTCTTTGTTTGTAAAAAATAATTAATAGGTCTTAATTTACAGACTTGCATTTAATTAAGACAACCATATGTAAACTTACTGCAAAGTGGTTTTATCTGTTTTTTTTGTAGAAAGAAGAAAAGTCATCAGTCAGTTTTCCCTCTCTTCTGAGCCATATAACTTCTTCTTTCATAAATCATCCTGTAATTCCAATGACTACATATGCAGAATCTGGTGTCCCACAGATTTTGAATGCCTTTTCTCCACTCACTTCATCCATGCCTTGTGACATGCATGTGGTCAATCTAAGGACAATACAATCAAAGGTATGTTCAAAATATTAATGTTATGAACAAATGTATGATATAACTAGTGATGTATTCTGGAAAATATTTCATTCTATAAAGGTAAATTATGAATCCACCAGGTCTTTTTCTTCTGCAACAGCTGAAGGATTTCCATCTTCTCACCAGTCACTAATTTTGAAACATCATACAAACATAGGATTTGACTTTCCACATCACATATGTGTGTATTAAGTCCATCCTGCCTCCAGCAGTAGTCAGAGAATTCAGAAGATGGAGAAAAGCAATCTCTTTCCCCTCCCCCCACACCCCATTGTGAATCAAATCAATTGGGCAATGTTGTACATGGAGTAGAGAAATTTCGTCCTGACTTCTCCAGGCAATCAGCTTATTCCCTGCCTGATGAGATTTGGTTTCTCTTGTTATCTTACATTAATACAACTGCTACTACTGATGATTAATAAATTTAATTTTGGGCATGTTGTGATAACTACTATGAAGTCAATATATCTGTGAATGTGAGTTATTCACTGTTCTTCCACTTAATATGATTGCTAGTGTTCTATCTCTCAGTGCTACAGCCATTACTGCTTTCATTACCAAGTTGAGCAGATCTGGGGTGTGACACGTCATACCTTGGGGGAGCACCCCGTAACCTCCATATTCATCATTTGTATATAATTGTAAAGCATGCTGTGTAAGGTATCACGGGAGAGGTTACGATATGCTGAAAGCCATTGTTCTATCTAAATATGTAAATCATTAGTGCATAGGAAGTTATGAGATTGTGTTGTACGGTTGTCACTAAAATATGCTGTGAGTTGGGGAATTGCTCAGAGATTAGATCCGCTACGACAATGCCAAGGGAGGTAACCAAAGCCCGGGCGAGTGTCGAACAACCATCAACAGCTATTGTTCAGCAAGGGAGTTGCAATTCAAGGATTCACATGCACAAGGCCACACCAGATGAATTGCTCACCCTTGCCTGGTGACTCTGCAATGCCCACCAGACATGCCTGGACTTGTGTTCTCCAAGCACATAGAATGAGGTTATAAAATAGAGGACAGAGGCCACATGGTTGGTCCTGTCTCTACCCCTGCCTACGCCAAAGGCAACAAGAATGCTGGAGCTGAGGAGACTGGTCCCCAGGTTAACAGGGAAAGCCTGAGTATGAAAGACTGCAACCAAACTGTAGTATCCAGTGGGATGAGAAAAACTGGGCTTAGTCTAGATATTGCCTAGTCTATTAAGGTTATACTGAGTGGTAACAGCACCTGGAGTGGTTTGCTACTTGTCATCAGTAAGGCATTCTGAGAGACAACCCAGGTTAGTGAGTTAGGGGGGGCACAGCGGTTGCACCCTGGGGATCTATGGTTATCCTGAACTGTTCTGTCAGCTTCTTGTCTACTCTCACTGCACTCATTGACTTGCTGTACATGTTTTCTTTCAGCTTGCTCAATTATTTGGGGACATTGTACATTCTCAAAATTTGCCATAACCCTTTCTGCCAAATGCTATCAAAGGCCTCCTTGAAGTCTATAAAGTTATTGAAGCAAGTTTGGTTGTGTTCTGTATTCTTCAATATCTGTCTTATCACAAATAGCTGATATGTTGCATTTCATCTGATCTAAATCCAGCATACTCCTCTGCAAGCACCACTTCCATGTACGTCTTTGTTCTCCTCTACAGCATCTTGGTGAATGCTTTACCTAGCACCCTTCATAACCATAGGAGACTTCATGCACTTAGAGGGACAGATGTGCCTTCCTTGGATCTTAAGTTATTCACTTGATTATATTGTCCTCATAGACTTGGAGGATTTACAGAGAATAACTGCCAAGGGAGATAGGGAAGCAGAAGATTCAGACTGAAGGTTGGCACAGAGAAGACAAGAATTACTTCAATTGCAAGACAAGAGACAAAGAACCAGGACAAGGAGAAAAAATTGTGTTCCCTGGAGGACTAGTATTGAAGAATGGGAACTGTGAAGATGACATCAAAAGAAGAATCGGAGTAGCCGCTACTGCACTTACAGTGCTCTGCAAGAACTGGAACTTTAAAGACATTTTGATAAAAATGAAAATCAGTGTATATGAAACAACTGCTGTGCCAATGCTGCTGTACCAGGTTGGAATGATGGAGTATGAAGAAAGCTGACGAACTAAAGATATCGACCTCAGAAATGAATTGGCTGAGGCGACTATTGAGAGTTTCAAGACTGCCGGAAAAAATGAAGTGAAAAGAAAACAGGTAGGGCAAGAAATAATTCTATGACAAAAGACTAAAAAATGATGACTGTGGTAGTTTGGACACGTGTCAAGAATGAACTCCAGAATGTACACCATACATGGTGATACACACAAGAGTGCAAGGAACTAGAAATAGAGGAAGCCTGAGCGTGCATTAGATAGACACAGTGAAAAATGACATAGGACAAACATTTTTAATGATGAGTGAAGCCATGAAGCTGGTACAAGACAGAAAGTGGCAAAAAGGCTTCATTTGGCCTCCTCATTGCTGTTGTGTTGATGGATGGGAATGAAAGAAGATATGATAAAAGGTTATCCGCCTTAAAAATGTTAATTTTTTACTAGAATTCTTGTTTTACCATCACAAGAGTTAATTTCTGGTTCATGGGTATGTATAATGAGCTTTTGCCCTGCATATAATGTAGCAACCACGCTCTACAGGTCCATTCTAATACTTATAAACCATATAAAGAGAACAAAGAAAAAGACATTAAAATACTTGACTTTAAAAGTCGAATAGCTGTTAATTCTGGAAATGTTTTAATTTGTGTTTAGCAAAGTCCTTCAGAATGAAAAATGTCTCTTAAAAATCTTGCTGATACTAAGTTTTTCTTGGGGCAAAGAAAGAGTCCATCCTCTCTTAAATAAATAGTAGTTATTAAAATTATTCCTGCTCCCTAAACAAGCATGACAAACACACAAGAGGAAATGGGAGAATAGAAAAGACAATAACTTCTGTCTCACTGATATTTGCTTTATTCACATGCTGGAGACAAAATATGTTACACATACAGGTCTGTGCCCTTCACCCTCTGAAACTTCAAGCCACTGGTAGGTCTTGATAATTGAACAAGGTTATTTATGCTGCTTTAACCTGTAATGCTAGATATGATGGTATCCTGGATTTCAGCTGATACAAAACCAGTCAAGCTTGATCTTGATTACACAGAAACCAAAAAGGGGGATAGGAAAGAGAGAGTAGAATAAAGGTGAAATAACATTTAAGAGAAAGTATGGCTTGAAACTATTATCATACATTCCAGTCAATCCAATGGTGATGGCCTGACATCCTCACTAATCTTTGTGACTTGGGTGTGTCTGAGGGCTTCACCAGAGTCCTTACGCAGAAGTTTTGTCCCTTGAGTGAGATTAGGCTGTTCAGGATTTTAAGGTCCCGGAGATGCCTTTGTGCAGCGCTCTCAAATTTTCAGAAGGGACATGGTCAGTCATGTGTCTCGTCACTTTAACCAAATAAAAATAATTTCAATGCCCCAAACATAGCTGTGTTTTTTCCATTTCAAAGAATTTCTTATACATCATTATGCCAACTTGTGGTAGAGGTCCTTGGAAGTCATTTCACCAATCATATTTTGGCAAAAACAAACTACATTTATATAAGTTTTTTAACTCCAATTTGTGCTTATTTCTATCAGCTATTTTCTAATGTCATTTTTTAATCACTGGAGTTCAGGAAAAAGTTTGGACTATTTCTTCTGTCAATCTGTTTTAAGAATACTTTTGTTTTCAACATCATAAAGATATAGTGCAGGAGTGTCCAACTCATTCTGTATTGAGCGCAAAATTATTCTTTATTAGTATGTGGGCTGGAAGTAAAAATTTCATGGGCAAGAGGTAAATGTTGCTGTCTTGGCCAACTGCATAATGATCCTCTTTAGTCAGTGAAGTTAAATGATGCATGTAAAGAAAATAATTTCTTAAAGTACATTGTATGCAACTTCCTTTTCTTTGTCCAATAGATTAACTGTCCCTGTATTTCCAGTATAAACAGCTCTCCCTCTGTCTTTCCTCTTGTCAATTTTCCCTCTCTCAATCCCCCCATTGGGCAGTTGGCCCCTCCTCCCTCTTTTAATTCACCACAACCTCTGGGAGCTGGTGCTGCAGGCTCAGCAGTGGTCATTGAGGGTTGGGAGTTGAATAGATGACTGTTCCCTGAGGCTGGGTTTGTTGGACCAACATGAAATTGAGGGGTGGAGAGAAGAAGCCACTCTCCTCATTCTGTTTCTGGAGTGCTCAGTAGCCACAGCATCAACAGGGAGGGGCGGGGGGGAAGTCTGGGAAAGAGCTCCTCTTGAAAGCTGGCCAGGGAAGGTAGCAGATAGGGATGAAGGAGCTCAGTTGCTCTTGACCAGTCTAGCATTAGCTCCTACTTCTTCTTTGAGTAGTGTCCCTATGGGTGCTCCACTGTAGATGTATCTGTGCCCCTGCACCTCTAATCAGAGATTTTAGGTAACAGTATCCATTCAGCCCATACATGGATTCTCCCTCTCTTGTGGTCTGCCTCAGGGCTATCTAACTGAAGGGGGTTCGCCTGCATGGCACTAGATAGCCACGAGGGAAGGAGAGCGCATGTAAAGGCTGAATGCACATTGCTACCTAAAATCTCCAATTAGAGGTGCAGGGGCACAGATATACCTACAGTGGAGCACCCATGGGGGACACATCTCAAAGAACCATCATTACTGCACAAGATGAGTGACTTCCTGTTCAGTCCTGCCAATCTATGTCTCTGGACCTTTTGAATTGCAGTGGCTGTGGTCCAAATGCCTTTGGAGAGTGAAGAGAGAGCTTCAGCCCGAAGTAAATGGTTCAATGGGATGTGTAGGTTTGACACACATAATTGTGGAGATTAATGGAAGAAGGAGGCATACATCAGGACACTAGGGGGGCTTTGGGTGATTGCCACTTCCCACCACCCAACACAGATGTAATGAGGTTGAGTAGTGTCCGCAAAAGAGAAACTAAACAACTAA